ACAGTCGGTTGGAAAAGTCGGACATTTCGCGGTTGGAAGTCACATTTACAGGGCAGGGAACTGGACCGAAATAAAAACAGCGAAAAGTTAGCCGGATAGAGATTATGGCAGATTCCTGCACAACGGGCCGAGGTCCACCCTGCAACAACCATGGCGGGCTATCAACTCTGATTTGCATCACCGCGAGTGTTCGTTTCGAGGAAAAAAATGAGCACATCGCAGGGGTTGAAAATATCTCCACTCGGATTTACCGAGTCGCAGTTTCCTAATCAAGATGTATAGGGACGAGTGAAATATCCCGCGATTCATCCCGTACAGAGTAACATTTATTTATCACTGTAAGGAAAATCCAAACACGACTCTTGAGATGTCCATTACCGAACACGTCGAGCGCTTCGCTAGAAGAACCCAATTTACTCTGATAATTTAATTCTTATTAATTTAAGGGAACCTTATCTGCCGATAATTAACATTATCTACAAGCCAGACGACTTTCCTAGGAAGTAGAAAAATTCAGGAGGCCGAAATGGGGGTTTCTCCATTTTTTCCCCCGTTTTTCCCTCGAAGCCCCAGAGTTCCTTCAAGTACGCAGAATTAGCCAGTCAGCCGTAAAGAGGACTTGCGGATGCATTAAAAAATTCTTCTCGCACCCCCAACCCCAGTATCACATTGTGTCCTGAACAAAACAGCGACTTTATATCTTGCGGCAGCTTTCCGCGATTTCGATCCACCTCGACATGTCGTTCGAAGACTCACCCGTTAATCAAAGTTAATTAATTAAGCCATAAGAAGGGCCTGCAAAGGTGCATTAAAAAAGTCACTTTGCATCCCTAGGAAAATGGTGGGTTTTATTCCGCGTCCAAAAAACCGTCGACGTTACGTCGTGCAGCGGTTTCTCCGCAATTCGTCGGAGTTCGGTGCCGGCGACGTGTCGTTTACGGCGAGGGCGTCGCGACGCCTACGAGCCGTCGATGTGCCGCGTTAGCGTACTCGGCGATGGAGCACTCCATTGTCAATTGGGCTCGTACGTTTATAACATTTCCGAGGAAAGGATATCCCGCGAAGTAGAGGCGTCGCCTTTCCATACGCGAGTCGGACGCCGGCGTCCCGGAAGGACGCAGGGCGTTGATCCGCCATCGGATAGGCGTGTCACGTCGAGCCTGTCGGAAATGTCGGAAGGGTATATCGGGAATATTTACCAGAAATGTGTCACCCAAGAGGAGCGGCCCCCGCCTTTGCACGAACTGGACCCGAGGGATGCTGGTGCATCTCTTACCTCCCATCGCGTTTTCGGGAAACTCTGGCTCTCGGAGCCTCGAAGCCACCTTGCATCGGGAAATAAATCGAGACGCCCTGCTCATAAAAAATAATTTACATTTAGAAATTACCTTAATTACGGGCACTTATCCCGCGGATGAGAAATTTAGACCGACGGATTTTTTTTATTTCCCTCGCCACAGAAAAACAGCATTTCCGTGGGTGGAAAAATGAGATAACTTACCACGTGGACAAGAAATCTTGAGTGACGATTTTCCTTCTTTTGCCATTACTAGCCATGGAAAGAGGCTGAGCTTGGATATAAGAGAGAGGATGAGAACTTATCCCGTGGGAAAAAACATTGAACGATTAATTTTTTTTCCTTTATCCATAATGGCCATTCAGAGAGGATGGGCGTGTATGGCGATTTTTTCTTTTTTCGCTCGTGTCTTTTTGGGCCTGCGGGGACGTTCAGTGACGCGGGATATCCTGGAATATCCTGGATAAATGACGTGGAAATTGGGAAAAATATATACTTTATGCGGCATGGACGCGGAAATTATAATTAGAAATAAGGATTCCCTGAATATGGAGAGATGGACTCGCTTCTGCACCCATGATTTGCATGGCACTCTGATGTCGAGTTGATCGAAATAGATATTTAGCGCATGCAGACGACTCCATGTAAACCCCTTGTGAATTTAACGCGGGATTATATTGCAGTAATTACACCCTCGAAATTGCGCGGTCGCGATGTGTAACATTTAGGGGCGCTTTACAAACGTTTTCGAGTGATCCAATTCGCAAACGGAGCACACCTGTCAGAAGAACAATCTACCGCAATTCGTCTCTAAGCGATCCCTATTACAAGCTCGGTTGTAATAGTTGACGTTCAATTAATTAATTGGATCACGGGGAAACGCGTGCTGTGACAGAAAGAGCAATGGGAAATTCTAGGCCACCTCGATTTCCCCATTGCCCGGCTGTATAAAGAATAGCGCCTTCCGATTTTCCCGTAACTTTTTCCCATTCTTAATTTTATGTCACGGTGTAAGGATCGGTGTTCGAGGCTGTTGTAAACGGCTGAAATTCCAGAGGCATTTAATTTACCCCCTGTGATTTATTGCAACCCCGCGGAGGCCATAATTTCCGGTTTATGCCACGTTAATTATGCCCTTGGAGATAAACTTACAAAAAATCCGCAAAAGCCGTCTACGAGAAAAAGAGAATGCGAGGGAGAGACAGGCCTTATTGAATAGTTCCCCGCGAGGAACATTTATTAAACAAATTACATGGGAAAATTGAAATGAAGATAATTGTCATAGATTAATGGAATTATGATCCTGAGAATTATTTTACGAATTAGGCGTTCAACGTTACTCCGGGTACCTCGGCATCGAAGGGAGAAGATGTACTTGCTTTCAATTACTTTATTAATAACCACGAGATTTTTTATCGAATTGTTGGTACGCGTTTGCAGCTCTCTTAGGGCGAAAATTTGGCTGATGGGGAATGATCGGTTCAAAGTATCCGAAATCGATAAGAGTCTCGAATTTCGAAAAAGTTAGTCCATTGTTCTCGGAGTTCTCGCTCTTCTTCTCGCCCGCTCCCGGTCTAGGGAAGGGTTCATTGTTCTTTGCCTCCTTTTCCTTCCGTCTCGTCGAACTTGGCATTAATTGCCCGGAGTCACGGCAAGTCTCCATTAGACAGTGCACGACTAAACGCCGGAGGGAAGTGGACGACAAAGCTCTCGACGAGGAGCTCTAGAGAACACGGCTTCCATTATTTTGCGGATCACCCACCTGCGGGCCATCGCACCCCTCGACTGCGACATTCTCATATCGAAACTCCTGAACGGGGTGCAATGTCAACAATTTCTGACTCCGACATTGAATAGTCGCCCTGAGAAGAAGCCAACGATAAGGCGTCGCAGAATCTTCAAATATGAATTTTTATTAATTTAAAATATAAGGATAAGATAATAATAATTTTCTTTTTTTTTTTTATTTAAGACGAGGAGTTCGAGGAAACACGACTTTCATTATTTTCGCGGATTCTCATATGGCGACATTCTCATATCGAAACTCCTCAACAGGATGCAACGTCAACAATTTCTGACTGATAAAAAAGCGAACGGTGAAACGTCACAGAATCTTCAAATATTAACTTTTCAATACGATATGATGAAGATATAAAGACGAGATTTTTCCTCGATTTAAAACGTATTTTATTGGGTACATCAGATGAAATCGTAGGATTTTCTTGACCCTCCCGCCATTTTACGCAGGGACCCATTTTAAGGGAGAAAGGAATCCAAGATCCCAGGATTTAATATACGACTTTTTTATACAATTCTCGTTTAATTCGGGATTTGTCATGACGAGCGAAGCCATCGTAGCTATCGGAATTGCGGCCCAGAATTTGATACGCTTTGAGCGGTGGTCCATTGTTCTCCACCACATAGGGGACGTGCGGCGATTCCGCCAGGACGATTCGTCTTCCCTTGACGGGGGTCCTGAATATTTCTGCCAGCGAATAGTGTCACGATCCACCTCCGTTCTTTTCTGGACATGTTCCCTGGATTCCCTCCTTCGTCTCCGTCCTGTGTCTGGATGCTGCACCTGATGCACTCCGTATTGCATCGCCGGCCGCTTTTTCAATTTCTTTTTTTTTTTTTCCAATTCCGATTCAATCGAGTGGGCGCTCATGACCCACCCGAAGGGGTTTCCGAGGTGCCCATTAATGCCGGGTATTTTTCCCGAGTACTTTTTCCGGCCATCAGCCGGTAGGTGGCGTTGTCATTTTCATGGGTGCGCTCGTTATACGCATTACGCTTCCCGGCGGCGCGGCTTTGTATCCGCAGATAGGTAACTACGCTCGTAAACTCGTTGTTTTGAAAATCACTGCCGGATTTCCCAGGAATATCGGCAGCTCGTGCTTTCAGAGCTTTACGAGCTCCTCCGGCACGTTCGCGTTCATTCCCTCGTCCATTTGGCACCTTCTCCCTCTCTTTCTCGCCGGCCTGGAAGCGAGGGCGTCGCCGAGATCCGACTGCGACCCCTCATAAACGTTTCATTGTCTCTTGCCGATGGCATCTAGGATTCCCATGGGCCGTGGAGGCCGGCCAGGTCGACGTGGAACCTCCCCGTTATCGGAAAAAAATTCCATCAACGGCGGAATTCGAAAAAAAAAAAAAAGAAAAAGAAAAGAAAATCGCGGGCCTTTGAAAGGCCGCCTTCTCACCCTCTTTATTGCGCCCTGCGATGCGAATTTCAGATGCACCGTCCTTCGGTGAAGGGTCGACGCAAATTACCGTCGAAAATGTCGATTCGGAGGGGATCTCGAGCTTCCACGGAAAATCGAGGGATTTTTTTTCCTTACTTTCACCCCAATTTTCCGGATTCCCTCGAACCGTCGTCCTTTCCCCTCCTACGACTAATTACTGCCGGATAATTCACCAGGTCTTCCCCGGCTTTCCTTCAACCGCCGCTCCGCAAAGCGGCCTACCGACATTTTCCCCGGAATCCCGCAAAAACCGTCCTTTAAACCCGCAACTCAGTTTTCCCGGTTTTCCGGCGCTTCGCGAGCTTTTACAAGCCCGCCGCTCCGGAATTAGTGGCTTTTGCCCGTGAAAAATCCAGCCATCCGGCCCGACGCGGAAACGTCGCGTGGTTGGGGATATGTTTTACCTCGGACTTCTTCTCCCTCTTTCTTACCCCGTTTCCCTTTTTTTCCTGTTACAGTTCTACCAACTGCTGGAGGCTAGTCATGTCGCGAACACGTCCCTCAACTACAGACAGGTCACCATCTTCGCGCCGACGAATCTCGCCTTCCAGAAGTACAACCGAAGCACCGATGACATCGTCTTGTACCACATGAGTAAGTACCACTTGACATCCTACAAGAACAATTGAAATACCATTATTCTCAAAATTACCATCTCTACGTGACAAGGAATTCCCAGATTGAGCGATTTAAAGAAGAAAATCCGGGAGATGGGAACGTTAATTCGTTGAATTTCTAGACATTTTTTAATGTCACACCTTTTAAATATTTTACAGGATCGAGAAATAATTTCTTGGGGGGGCAATTGTCGAATACGAAAATATTCCTGCTTTTCTCTTGAGGAGTATTTTATTGGCCGGAGTACGGGGAGGGTGGTGACTAAAGAAGCGGTATTTCGTTTATTTCAGTATCGGGCGAAGGGATTAAACTGGACCTAGAATACTTGGGGCCCAAGGCAGCATTGCATGCAGTATGCGAGAATTATGGAGCAATAACGGTAGCCTGCAGAGCACGTTACGCATACATACTCGGTGCTGTAACAAGCCATAAATGGCGGCGCAAAAATGCCATACATTCCGGGCGGTTTTGTTTCCTCGACAGAGCCAGTCATTCCTCCGTTGATTTTCGGATTTTGGCGAGACCTCCTCGGGTTCACGATCGGCGCGTTCTGCGATTTCAATTACAGAATTGATCGCCGGACAGCCATCAATCCTCCGGCAGCTTTCCACCTCTGATTGTTCCGGGATACCCTATCCCGGTCCGCTCCACCAAAGGGGAATTTAATCGCAGGAAATTCATCCCCTTTTCTCTTTATTCCTCTCACTAAACCGCTAAAGCGATTTCGTGTGGCTTGCCCGATTCTCGGCCATCGATCCGATCGAAGCCGGAAGATCGATAGCCGATCGACGATCCTCTCGAGTAAGTGTAATTGAAGTCCGCGAAGTGGGACCTCCGAAAAAAAAAAACGCATCGTTTCATAAAAGCAAAAGGCAATAATAATTTAAAAAAAAATCACACGAGAAGGAACGTTAAACATATATATATGATAAGTGCTGGGGACAATTACCGAGGAATTATTTCACTTCGGAAATATTATCCGAGAGAGAATTTCAGAGCTGATCAGGACCAATATCCTGGCAAATCCATTTCCTTCCAATTGGACGAACTCATCGGCTTTATTTATATATTCACTATTACCGGCTCTTCGAGGGGATCGGAAGTGAACGAACGTTCGTTAGATCTTATTCATATTTAATCGAAAGGGAATTGCAGCCCCAGGGCAAAATGGGGAGCGCCCTTAAACTGGGCGTCGAATGCTGCCTTCTAGGTGTGCAAATTATCCACTCTTAATTATTCTCTTGTGCCTCCTGACGGATGATGGGCTTTACCGGGGGAGGAATCGAGTGGGTTTTCGGTGCCTATCAATGCCTATCAACTATGATCAATGAAGCCCTTCCTTATGTCCGAAGCCACCCTTCCAATAATTTCTTCCCCGGGGTGCAACGCTTGCACGTCAGCCCTCGCGAAACGTAAAAGCTGTAATTACCCAATTCTTGCAGCTCGACTCGAGGCCTTACACGTAAGGAAAGGCAACTTTGGGAAAATCACGGAACTCCATTTACAAAGTTTCAAAGTTACGTCTTGTCGTGCTCGATTCAGGTCGCAGGGTTAATGCACTGACTTTAAATGCAGGTATACATGCCAGAGCAATTATTCTGAAATTTTCTTTGAGTAGCTCTCTGGAGTTAAATCGATTTTGACGGGATGTTAAATAATCGCTGGTATTTAAATCTTGCAAAGTTAATATCTTCGGGGCATTCTCCATGCATTTTCCGTCACGTCTGCTAAGTTCTTCTCTTGGGTGGAAAGTTATCGGCCTCCTATGACCTGCGACTAAATTATACTTAAGTCTACGGTCGCGAGCATTGTTCGCTTATTATCCAAGGCGGAGAAGCCACTTCTGGCGTCTCTGGAGTCAGAATCCCCGACTTTGTCGAAAAGTGGCAGAACAGACGTGACAGAGGGCCTGCACGGAACTTCGAGCTCTACCGGACTCTCAGGTAACTTAACTACTTTGCTCCCGGTGTGTAACTTAAGTTTCAGGCACCTCGGCCGTCTTTGAGTTTGCGGCCGGACCGCTACGAGAAGGAAGTATCTCGGTGAGGCAAATTCTACATCCGCGTTCGAGACTTAGGTCAGGAAACTCCGTTTGTCTTCCCACCGACAGTGAGATTTACAATGTCCCGGAGAACGCCATGTCGGATTCGAAAACGCTTCAAAAGCGAAGGGTACCTTCAAACATTCGGCCTCCACATCGACTCGCCATTCGTTAACACCTTCCTCAAATACCGCAAAAACTGCTTCCAATTTCGAGATTTTGCTCCGAAAGTAAAGATGCACCTCCTGAAAATATTCCTTGAGCTAAGTACTGCCTACGGAAATTAAAGCATAATTTTCACCGAATTAAAAACACATTGTCGAATTTATGGCGTTTCTTATTGAACGGGGTGAGGGTAGGAACGGAGTATAAATAATCGAGACTCACCTAAATTCGTTCCATTTCATACATCGTGAATGAGTACCGGAACGATGCTGGACACAATTGGACATTTCAATCTTCGACGTGTCATACGGACGTCACTACAAGTGTGACAAATCTCCGGGCGAAGCATGAAAGTAAAAGCAGAATCGGTCAGTCAAATTCGGGAGGACAATATGCGACGTTTAAACCAATGATCCGTGATGGCCATTATTACGTTTTGCGTGCTCGAATTAATGTCCATATCGAATTTCCGGTCGATTTGGGCTCAAAATATTGCGATTGTACGTACATCAAAGACTTAACGAGCGGAGTCGAGATTCATCTTGCACAGCTCGGATAAATGTCCCGAAAATATTAATACGCTTGGTGATACTATCTTCCCGTAGGAAGTTACCGAAATGAAATGTCACTATCAAGGTGAGATGGTCCCGCGGAATGGTTTTCGAGAATCTAATCCAAGTCCGAAGTTCTTGGCGATACTCGGAGCACTTCGTTCGCCTTCCGCGGACCTCCGCAATTTTGTATATTACCCGGGAAACTTTCACAATTAGTCTAGAAAGTTTCATAATTTTGCAGTTTAAGCGGCTTGTTTTGCGGCGGCGAAGTGTTGCCGCAGTGGCCGGTTTAATTTATCATTTCACCCCTTTTCCAACCGGAAACCACCGGTTCTTCGCGACCGGCGAAATTGCTTCTCGAGGAGTGTTTGCCTTTTGCGACTTTTCGACACCTTCGGAATCCTCCTACCTGAAAAGTATTAAAAACGGAAGAAATCCCCCCAGCAAACACCTCGTCGACAAACCTTAGCCGGAAAATCACTAACAGAGCCGACAATTTAATTCGGATCGTTACACAAGATAGAGATGAATTCGAGGCAGTTCTATTTATTGCTCTAACTTCGTTCCAGAAGTACTAAATCCCAATCAGTCCTCCAAGTTATTGAATAATTCGGTCTCAAGGTGGCGACTGAGTTCCTACCTCGGTTTCTATCAATTCAAGTCCCGCGGTTGGATTTCCGTGTCTTGTTATCATGTACAATAAATTACCGTAAATTCTTAAAAAAAAAAATAAAAAAAACGGATAACTCGCTGCAGTTCCCTGTATTCTATATTTATTTTATAAATTTCTCCAGCAACCTGAGTTCATTTTTCGGATTGCTGGACGAAGGAGCTCCGGGCAGGACCTCCGTAAATTTCGGTCGCCGGTTCGCCGTCGAAATTTCTCTACCAAGTTTCGCGTCGTCCTGCCGAAATGGAATTTTACGAGGACGAAGCAAGGACCATTTCTCCGTGCAGGTCGACGAGAGAACTTCCCGGGGAACTTGCAGTACACGTTACCCCGCCGGCCATTATAACTTTTTCGCTATTTCTATTCTGGTCGGCATCGATATTCCGCAGCCATGGCCGGCTCGCATATTCCCACGTGCGTATTTTACTGGCGTCACGTGTGGCCCATAATCGAAGGGTTATAGTGTCAATTCCGAGGCCGTCGGCTTTGCGAATCGGCCCGATTATTCCCGCGTGCTCCACAGAGGGAAAAGTGCCGCGGCGTAAAGGGAATTCCTAGGGAGGGCTTTATGAGGGCAATTTGTTGCAATTTTATCCCCGCGGTAAGTCGCCCCTCTCGCGTTTCCTCGTGCCGGGAAATTTAATATCAAATGTGACACAAGTATGACACGTTTATTGCCGCGGCAATTGGGAGATGAAAACTACCCCGTTAAAAAAGAAAGAAAAGGTATGACAATTCTGCCCCAAAAGTTATAAAACGAAGTTGCACAATTATACATTTAATTAAACATTTACCCCACGCGTATAGAAATTCACATTTAAAGGCTGCGGATTTTAGGCTCTCCTGCAATCCTCGGTAATGCAAGAATTTAGTAGATCCTTGAAATTGCACGGAGTCGCCTGAATTTATCAGCTTTCATTTAAAGGAATTACGGAAGGGGTTGAAAAGATTTTTATCCAGGAGCGAAACGTTGGATACCGAGTACCGATCCCCTGGGAATTCCTGTCGACGTCATATCGGGACTTCCTTCCAGGAGCGCGCGTTGCATTACTCGCAACTCCTTGGCCGTCAAGCGCGAGATTTATCGAGCAATCTCGAGGAGCATGTATGGTCCCGACCTATCTTAAGGAAATCCTCGGCACGCGATACAGCCCGGCGGACGTATCCTGGAGACCAGGAGAGGGTTATCTGCACGGGGCGACCGGGATGCTGGGCTCGGATGGAGAGGGCCGATTACCTCCTCGATCGAGTCAATCGGGGCCGATTCTCTCCTCGTAAGGTGGGTCCCTCTGCAATCCTCTTCGAGTCCTGGCTCCGTTTCCATTTGGCTCGGCCGATATCTCTAGGCGTCCGTCTCGCTATCCCGAGGGAGCCGAAATTTCCAGGACCCCCGCGACCGGCCGGCATTTCCCGCGGGATGGTCCTGGCTCCTCTGCAGCCTCTCTTTCGATCCTGGAGCTCTTCAGTCACCTCCCGATATCTCGGCCCGACCGGAGCCTTCCTGTATCCCCCGACGTGTAAATCAATCTCCAGCAGTGGCGCATCGATCTCGTCTTCCCGCCCTGAGCTCCTTTTCTCTCCCGAGCGAGTCCTTCCTCGAGATCCTCCGAGAAGAAATTTCGAGGGACGACCTGGAAGAGCTCGGCCCTATTAACAAAAAATCGGGATTTATAACAATTTCTTGAAAACTCCGTTCAAACACGGTGCACCGATAAATTTAGCACTCCTGGACAATTCCAGAAAATTATGAATTCAATTTTGAGATTTATAATAAATATATGGTGACTCGCTTCTAAAGTGTCTTTCGAATTTCCTACGACTTTTCCCTCGAACTTTTTCAACATTCTTTTTTCGACAAAGTGCTCTTATCTCCCGAGAGGATTCCCAGACTCCGGGGGTAGTTTCGACGCGTAATTTTGTCGTTTGTCCTTCCCCCTTGTCATCTCCTATCTGCGTATGGGACTTTTAAACTTGCCCCGAGTTTAAATTAGCCCTCGGGATACGATCATCCCTGATCTGTCGGTGTCGCCGAACATGGGATGACGCTATTGAGGGAAATTTGTTTACACGGGAGCAGGCGTCCCTCGGGAATCCGAAGGGAGGACGATCGTTTCCCATTTCGTGGACGAGCGAGACACCCTAACCGATCTCGAGAGGGAACCTTCTATGGGGGACCATTCCATGCCCATGGAGCGTCCAATTTCCCATCTCGTTCGGGAACGATGCCTCCAAGGTCCGCGACTCGCTTTGGGCTTGCTACTAAAAATGTTAAAATATTGATGGACCGATCCACCGACAATTTACATCGCCGGTTGCAAAAGAACGTCTTCGATACGAGGCATCTCTCTTATCTCGAATGAAGCGCCCATTCAAATCCTTAAAATTTGCAAACGGTCTAGACGTAACTGCATTTCATGAAAGTCTTGCGATGCAATGCCGAAGGAGTCATCGTTAATATCCATCGAGTCCTGGCAACGTACTCGAGGCTCTCGAATTGCAAGGGTTTTGTTAATGTTTACACCAGGCTCTCTGGCCAGTGGAGATGAAAGATCATCAAAGGCATTTCCCGATGTACAAACGACAATTTGCTCTAATAACCGCTAATCCTCCGCCGCTTTGAAGACTAAAATTCTACCCGGGTTAACCGGCGATACGACAGTGTTGGGAGTATTATCCTCTTGTACAATTATGCTGTCATCTGCGATAGTTTATTTATGGGGGAACTGTTTACACGTAGTCGAATGTCCAGAAACAACTGACGGTCCACGTGCATGTTATTGGAAAATGCCTATAGCTCGCTGATAAAGTATGGACTAATTGATATGCGCTTTACTAGAAGAGGCCTGATGTGCTTTTTACAAGTTTACATCTTTTAAGTTCAAATTGACCGCTGTCTAGGAATGATCGGTATTGCCGTGTACGTGCTTCCTGATTTTTTCCTCTTCAGTTCGATGTCTGGGATGGACAGTTTAATTATGTGGTTTCGGTCTTCAACTATAGGAGACACGAATTGGGACTTCCTCGGGATTGGAGAGACGTTTCCGTCTCGGTCCTACGGCTTAGGTTTCCTTCCCGATGTGTCCACGGTATCCCGGATAGAGTCAATTCTCTTGTAGATCAGGGATTCTATCCCCCTGAACCCGATTCGCCAGGTTTGGAGACGTGTGACCCGGCCATTTTCCCTCGCGACCTCCTTGCCCAGCTCGTACCTCCTCTTGGAGGAGACCTAAAGGAGCCAAAGGTTGGAAGGTTAACTCTCCGAGTGTCACGGAAAATTTTCTTCAAGAATGGGGCCAGTAAAGTGGATCCACATTCAGGATTAATTTTATTAAATTTTTTCCAGGGTAGTTCCCCTATTTTCCGACACGTGTAACGCTTTGAAGTACTTCACCAGAAGGTCCTTAGTCGAGATGCACGAGGGTCAAAGCCAGCAAGGTTGACCAAGGACCCTGAAGAGGCCATCCATTTGGCCATAAACGACCACCTTTCCCAACTTCCTGCACCCCCACGTTGATCCGCACCCCTGTGAGACCCCGGACCGAAATTCTCTCCGTATTGACCGCCACCAAAAAGGCGCCCCTCTTCCGGGATTTTCGCCTAGAGAGAAGGGTTGAACGATTGCTTTTTGCGGCGCCTATGTACACCCCCGAGTTATAGGAGAAAATGTCACGTCTCATCCCTATCTCTCCCCTCGCATGCCTGACCGTCTATACACGTTGTCTTCGAAAAGCCGCTGGTCTTTTCGGCATTTTCCGCACCCCCTTTCAGGGCTGGACCACATCCAAACCACCCTTCTGGTGAATAGTCGAGACGTTGAAGAGCCTCACTTTGAGATAGCTACATCATTTACGCGAGGCTTTAATAATTTTCTCCAATTCCAACTGGACCATGAAGGCACCCCTCTCCTGGAACATCCGCCCCACGGCGGTTGAATTATTGCTCCTCGTATCCTTTACATACAAACGTGGACAAACGCAAAGGGACGTGACCAATGAGCCCCCGAGCTAATTAACTTCGCACCTAGAAACGCGTTGAAGTCTTTCAGGGGTGCCTTTTGAGCTGATCTCACCTATTGTCAGAAAACAAGGTGAACAAGAAGGCTGATAGGACCCTCTCGACCGAAATATTCGCCCCCGGATGGTGGAATTATTTATCATGCCCTAAAAAAAAAAAGTTCCTCGTACCAAAGAAGGATTTCTTTGAATAGTTCTCAAAAAATATATCTTGTTAATTGAAAGAGTAATTATTCTCACGTATTTTCGGAGGTAAAATCAGAAAATGAAATGGCGAAGGAAGTCGACAGGTTGTGCAACGATAGACGGAATCCCTGCTATGGGGTTGCACCTCGGGTAGCATCACGACCGCAACCCTTGCCTTCCTACCCCATTGTGTGGTCATGCGCGGGCTGCACAGAGCGTTGCTCATGATATTATCTCGTGAAGAAGACTGCTTCATCATGCAGAAATTGGTCAAATTGGGGAAGGATCAAAGACGCGGAGTTAACTGGGCACACCAAGAGAGGCATTTAGGAGGGCATAAGCAACCGGCGGTCCTAACTTCATGCACCCCTTCGACGATCCCCTCAAAAGCTCCTTTGAGTGTTGCATCTCGTGCTGCCTGTATTCAAAGCAGCAACCAAGTTCTGCAAACACTTGGGACCAGTATCCGGGTTGAAATCGAAGAGTGAAACTATTATCGGTTCCGAGTTGTCCCTCCGGTATCGTGGAACTCCTTCCCTTCCGATATTTCCTCTGACGCAGCCAGCACCGATATTACACCTAGAAAAAAAATAGAAAAGAAGTGCATCGAACCAAAGAAATATCTCGTTAATTCAAAGAGTATAATTACTTGACTCGGACAAACTGAAGTAACGTTGCGTCCAATGCATTCAAGTTTCAGTGAAATCGTTAATTCTTGAATTAAGAAAGCATCTACAGGTATCTGGTCTGGAATTTTCCCAGGAAATGTTACATCGATGATCTTCGTCCCGTGATCGAAGTTGAGGTTCTTCCGGTCTGATCATCCCCTCGAAGCGCACCTCCCTTCCTGGGTATCCGCCCATGGGGCAGTTGAATTATGGGTTCTCGTGCTGCCTGCATACGATACCAGGGGCAACCTGCACAGGAAAAGTGACGTACACGCAAGGGGTGTTACGGGGGTGTATTCGCGAGAGGCCAGCCGCAGCTGTTCATTCGTTTATCCTAGAACATAGCGTAGCCCTGGCGCTCTATCTCGCCTATCGTTCACCCAAGGAAGCCTCGTAGGAAAACGATAGGTACCCCCGCGAAGATAGCTAGCGATATTAATAGGCAGCGCCGAATTAATGGCGAAACTGGATAAGGCAATAACCCCCTTATAATTGACTTTGAATCATGGGGGTGGTTGTTATCGACCACAGGACTTGGAATTAAGGGCCGTGGTAGATTATCCCTGAAAATTGATCGAGATATGCACAGGGCATGTCGGAGAAAATTGTCACGGTTCTATCGCCGATAGGCTTCACAAGTTGAATCTCTCTTTTTTTTTTTTCTTTCCTTCTATATATTTCCTTTCAACAATTCATACGTTCACTTAGCACGGCGAGTGCAAGTGTTGCAAATTGATTTCACAAGGACTCCATTTTCTGATAACCAAGGTACACCGTGTGCAATCTGAGTTCGATGCAGTAGGAATACGCATACGCAATTCGATATCACTTTCCACGGTTTCGCACAATTCTAAGGGAAATATATCCTATCAGCCTTGCTTCCTATCGTTCTCGGGAGATCGTCGTATTATCGAAGTAGAATCTTTCCTGCGTTTGGCCGAACGAATTCCACGGGTCCGTTCGCTTCTAGATAGAATCGTTGATAGCAGCGATATGGCTGGATTGACGCACGCAAATAGACCATGAAAAAGTAATTTTCTTCCTTGGGAAGAAAATGCGGCCCCTTTGACGTGAATAACGACATTCAACATTCGATCACATTCTCGCCTCGTTCAAGAGGGTAACAATTGTACACACTTAATCGGGGTATTTTCGTTTTCGTATTTTCTTGACACGTCTAAGAGGGCGACGAAGTCGCGAAACCGACTCTATGCAAATTAGAGGGAGTTCGGATTCCGCTTTTACAAAGAATTCCGCGTACGGCCGGATTTCCCCGCAGTCGATGAAAATGCTCGCAATTTGCGGAACGCCAGCACCCGGAGTTCCGCATCTGGCCCCGAAATTCAGGATATGCATCCGGACGGCAATTACCAATTATAATTGCAGCCGAGCTGCAGTCGGCTGGGTTAATTGATAAACAGTTGCAATAACGAGTCCTCGTCGATCGAACGAATGAACGAGCTCTCGTCGCTCCTCGCGCTCCGATGACTCGGCTGCTTTGCGCATTACGACCCGTTGCCGCTCTTTAATTTGCTTTTCGAAAATCCCGCCGGGACGCCGATGGCCCAGCAATCTGCGGTTGCAACGCGCGAATCGATCGGTGATTTTCGAAAGGACCTAATTTTCTTTCCCCCCGATTGTTGAGCCGAACGAATAAGCCATTAAAAATAAACGAATCCTTTCGAAAATCACCGATCGACTCGCGCGGTTGCAACCGCACGAATGAACCATTAAAAATAAATTAATAACAGTAGGACGCAACTCCTATAATTTTCTAAACGCAAGACAATGACGGTGATTTTCTTAAATCTATTTTACAAAGGCTTGAGAAATTCTATATATCTATATAAAAAAAAAAAAGAACAGAAACATTTTCAGGTCTACGTTGCGCCATGCTCATCGCGATACGCCGTGAGATTAATATCGCATTTAATTCAAAGTGCAGCTTAGATTTTATCGCGCAATTATTATCAATTTGAGGTGAAAATGATGAAAAATTCAATCCCGGAATATGGCCGGGAATTAATTTTACGAGGATTTTTACTCAGGATTAATGCATCCGGCTAATCGATTGGTCGGCTCTTTGTGGCTCGATTATTCCCCCTGCAGTGCGCGTTACCGCCGTTTAATTAGTTTTTCGAGAATCCCGGCCGGATAGCAATCACCGAGATGTCTGTAAACGTGACAGACAAGCGGACGGTTAATTTTTGCGAACGTCCGTTTTTCCGCAGAATTCATTAACGGGCCGGATGAATACGTTTCCGCGTCTAGATCAATGAGCGCGATCCTAGCGAGTAACGTGTATTATTTATTAAACGCTCGCCCAGTAACTCCTAACAAACAGGAACAAAGTTGGCGATTCAGCATCGTAAATAAGGGAACTCGTTACGCAACGTTATTGTTTGCCGTTTATCAGTGCGTAGGAACATTTACCGAACTAACGAACGGTGTCTATAAAATGGTTTCCCATACAAATTGTCCAGATAACGTGTCAATTATTTCTAACGCGTGTAACGTAATACATGGCATGTTCTCCTCAATCGATAAAATAATTCCCGGGATGATCGGTAGCAAGATAGACAGGAAAGGCAACTCTGCAGCGAAACGAGAAATAATTTCCCGGCGAATGCAATTACCGAAGGGCCCCCCCTCGTCCTGGACGAACGCGTCGGAATCCCAGGAACACTTTTGCGAATTGCACGGGCACAGGTTTCCCCGAGGAAGACGAACGTAAACCCTGGCGGAATTCGTGGGTGTAAAGACAATATGGCGGCGCCCTAGGAGCCGAAGAGGTCGGGACTCGATATTGGAAAGCGATACCAATCGCTTCCAGTCCGAGCTGATAAAATTACCGCCTCGACGCGTTTCGATGGATACTTTAGTTTCATGAGAACGTAGAACTCGGGATTCTTAGAGCGAGGTACACGAATTCCTACCGCACCGATTATGGGATTATTAAGCAGGTGCAAGCGCCCAACGCAATGGCGATAACGATGGCCATATCACGCATCGAAATGGAGAGACCCTGGGTTTATTTCGAAGCACGTAAGCCCGCGATTCCGCTCCTCTTTCCCTCTTAAATCCTCCTCCTCCGGATGTACCGGAGAAAGGGAGAGGAAATTAGAGATGGCGAAAAGGAGAGCGTAACCGAATAGCGCGAGGTACAATTTACGAAGCTCGAGATACACCCGAGGGATGCTGCGACCTCCGCGTGTAATCTCCCGTCCACGGGGCGGCGTAAACCGGGAGAACGTATTTCTATAAAATTGTAAAGAGCGCCGATGTCGCCGGTCATTCGTTCCTTCGCGAGTGTGTAACTGAATCGCAGAAAGCGATTTACGGAGCTCCGGAGAAAAACATCCGCCGAACGACGCTCGTATTTTCGTTCTAGCGCATCTGTGGCGTTGACGCGGTTTAACACGGAGAGGAAGCCCGTGTAAAAATAGATTGTTTATTATAAAAGTATAAGAAAACGGGAAGGGGCTTCTTAAGTAAGTCGCTTGACGTGGTCCGTCTTCTTCCGAGACGACTTGATGAATCCCAGGAACTGCAGCTCGGCGACAGCTCGGGTGAATCGGGCTCTTGGTAGGATTAAGGATGCAATCCTTGCTCGGAAAGAAACCAAGGGTCACTTGAATGCTCCTGGGCATAGAACGTAAAAGGATACTGCATCTTCGGGTCCACCTCTCGTTGTTCCTCGACGACCTCGTTAGGATTCACGATGGTCAGGAAGGCCTGCGACAGGAAGATCCGGATTATCCGATCCGAATTACATCCGATCTAACATGCGAAGTACATATGGCTCGAATAGTCATGGGAATTGCGACTGACGATGACTGGAATCGCCAAGCTTCGATTTTGCATGCATATCATCGCTGGTACCGTGGCCAGTACCGAGGCGCGTATTGCTTTATTACCTGCAGCCAGTCGTACATATTGATCAGCTTCCCCGATTCCAAATGCAGCTTATAAATTATGCTGAGGTCCGGTAGGCTGGTCAGGATGGACTCGTCGTTGTCCAATTTACAGCAGTTGCACTGAAACGCATATTCTTCGATGAAATTAGCTCGGCCCGAAAGTAGGGCCAACGTGAACACGACATGCGCGCGCTTATGGCGGAAAGTTAACGCGGAAACCAATAGCAATTTGTCTCCTGGCGCCGGCCTCGTCACTTCGGCCGGTTTTCATCAGTGATCTAATGGATTGGTCCGTCGCGATGCCGATGGAAGTCGGCATGGTTCGCCAATTTTCAATCTCCGTTGGTGACTGGACCCACCTCTAGGTACATCCTGGGATCGTTTAGAGCCGTGTGTATCGCGGCACGTAAGGAACCTCGTATGTGATGCTTCGCCGTGTTCCCATCCCCGAAACAGAAGATCTCGTGTCCTGGCATCTGGTTGGGATTCATCAGGCGTTTCGAAAAAATCTGCGTGTCCAGGAACTCGATCAGGTCCATCTGCGCCTGCTTGTACGGCGAGCGCGAGTGCCTCTGAGACATCCGCAGCAACTTCTACAATATAAATGCAACTTAAACGTGATACCAAACTACAATAGTTGGGGCTTGAACCTCTGGCAGTATAAATTAAAGGTGATTTGTCGGACTAGAATGGGTCGGATGGCGAAGGACCTCTTTTAACTGAAGACGACTCAGCTTCTGCTCGACGCTGACCGTCTCGCTCGAGTCCGCTGCGATCTCCAAGCTCGCATCGCGTACAATGGCCACGTGCTTCTTCAAATTTGAGGCAAGATCCGATGGGAACTTCTCTTGGGAGTTCTCCACGATAACGAGAACCTCATCGAGTTTCGAGAGCATCTCCTCTTTCGAGAGAAAACCCAACAACTGCAGAGATTCCTTGTACTCCTGAGACTCGGTCAAATTGCCACTGACCGCTTTGGCGTATACCTCGCGGAGCTGGAAATTGATTTTGCAATTGCAATCCACCCCTTTCTTCCCCCTGCTTTTATATCTCGCCGACGGGTCTACGGAGAAATTGAAGAAAAATCCGATCCACCTGTTTACCCAACGGAGCATTCGGCAATGTCGAAGTCAGACCATGAAGAATCTTCAGGGTCGTAAGAAACTCGCTCATGTGAACTTGAAATTGATCCAACAAAGCGTAAAGATGTTCCTGTGAAACGGCTTGCGTTACTAAGCAGGTTATTTTTAGGACATTAACTCTGTTTTACGTAATTATTCTTTTACAACAGTTTAGTACAACTTCAGATGAATTACTCAAATCAGCGTTACCTTAAATTCTTTGTCGCTCGAGTTACTCAGGCTCTTGTCCTTCGAATTTTTCATATACTTTTCTATGGACGGTAATCGCTTAACTTCTTCTAATTCTTCCTTGTTAAGGGCATCGATCCTCTTTTTCATGTCCTTTCTTTTACAGCACAGTGCGTTGACGTTGTTGTCGTAAAAGTGTTGCATCATGCACAACTAAAAATTTCCAAGGAACTTTTAATAAGTACGCTCGATCAATTCAGCGAATGATTGCCAATTGAAGCTACATAACAACCAATCGTGTTCGATTCGTGCACGCCCACCTTGTAGCCTTGGAGGAAACCGTCGACGGAAAAGTCGTAAAATAAAAATATATCCGTGAGTAATTGAAAGGCTCGTCCTGTTAACTTAAATGGAGTTGCCGAAGAGAGTACCGTGCCTTCCAGCACATCCGAAAGGCTTTTCATTTGTGTCTGGGTGTGAAATACCTGTACGAAAGTTCACACGTGTTTTATTACTCCGACTAAACAATCGCACCGATTGTGAGTAAATATATAATTATCTGTGCACCTGTACTCTTAACTTGGAAGTCACGTCATAAGGTAGAGTTCTATGAACAGCGTGTAATGTCGTGGCAACGCCAAAGATTAATACAAATTTAATACTTTTGGTATAGGAACTAAAATACAGAAGTCACAATAAAAATCTAGATAAATTGATTAATACAAATGATGTACTTTTCAATTGACGTTATACCTCAAGGCTAAGATGAAATCTCGCAACACGGTTGCAGAAAAGCTCTCAAAATCAGGAATAATGATCACTAAAGGAGCATTCGGATCGTCTTGCTCTTCGTGCCATGCTCTTAAAGCACGCAGCGTGCACTGACTTTTTCGCACCATTGTGTCTTCGTCCTAAAATACATTTTTCTGTACATGATGTTTGGATAATTATTTAAGGCAAAATTTACCTCCCGATGACTATTAATTAATTGATAAACCGCCTCTTCTGTCATGCTTTTAACATTGCCGGAATCTCTTGACCAAACCCTTGCTATGTATGGTGTTATCGTTTCAAGTTCAGAAGATACTTTATCGAAAAGTACTTTATGGTCAGGTAAATTTACTCCTGTAAATAGTTGACAAAGTGTGTAATATATGTAAACCTATGACAGATTTTAGAGTGTAAAAGCTGTGTACCTGTTAACAATATTGCAGTAGGAATATCGTAAGAATATATTTCGGCGCGATAATCTGCATCTTTAACGTAGGACTTGAGATCGTATAATATATGTTTGAACATGTTAGAATTAATCCTCTGTAAATGTGAATTTTTCCAATTATATTTTAAATCTTATTCATCATGCACGAATCAGTATAATGTAATACACAAAAAATGACTAATACCTCTACAGCATCATTTATATGTGACCATGTCTGTTTATACGCAATATACCAAGGTTCATCAGAAAATGCATATTGAATCGCGTGCTTCTTTTGTCTTCCGATCTTACGACTACCTTTGTGAGCGAAAACTCCCTAAAAATGTAATACAAATCCTTCATCAGTTGCTGTATATTATTTATTTCCCATTTAAGAAATCGCGGGTGAACATTACATGTCTTACTTACGATACATATATCACCGTTTAATGAACATAAAATGACAGAAACATACTACCACTGAATTATCTTAAAATCAAAGTTTACAATAAATTTTAAATGAGCAAAAACATAATGATCCATCGCAAATAATTAAACAATGAAGTCGTAACTAAATCGATACCGTTAGATCAAGTGCACGTGTACAAAATATCAACGGCAGATTTAAATATTAATGTATTAGAAATAATCCTTTATGTACAATCCTCGCAAGGAGAGCAAGAATATAGCTGCATGTACTTAATTACACCTTGTTAAATTTATTTACATATGTAGACTCTGAACAGGACTGTCCAGCAAACCTGAAATCAATATTCACGCCGGCTCGTTGATAACGGTGTAGGGTTCATAATTCACGGAAGCGTCAGTACATCATCGCATTACCGGACTAGCCGGCATAAACACGCATGCCATCCGCCGGTTCACCTCTTTTACATTTTGAGGTTATGTTTGGGAAGCAACAGGTTGAAACGTCGCATTGCCTACCTTCGACGCGGCGACATTATCCATTTTCTCACGGTAACCGGCGGTCCCGGCAAGGAGTTCCAAGAAACACGGAGTACGGTTAAAGAAAACAAACGTCACGGTTAACAGAACAGAAAAAATACGGGAAACGGTCGCTGCCTCGCAACTGTTACTTCTCGCGCCATTTGGCGCGATTTGGCGCTTCGCTGCGCAGTGCATACTACGCAGACGGGTCTCGAAATATCCCCACAGATGGCACCACCAACCGGCGACCATGACGCGGCAAAGCCGAAGGACGATTTAAAATGGTTTTAAAATATGCTCAAGTTTATATTTCATCCTAAAAAGAAGTATTAACAGCCATGTAAGTGAACATACGATATGGAATGAATACTAATTCAGTAATTAAAGTAAAGTCGACTCGACGTTCGAGCCTATTTAAAGTGAATCTCGCATCACTCGAACGGTCAGTGGACATAACCTCTGAAACCGTCACCGACCGATAAGGTAATTAATTATTCATCCCACGTTTTCCTGTTTTCGATGAATTGTCAACTTTCTAGTTTATCCTGGAATCTCGTCCAGGCTTAGGAAACTAGTTTTTTTAGTTAAGTGAGACTGATATTCTATAAACGCTCGTCAATATGTTCGAAAATCCGGGATGCGAAGGATAACTCTTCAGGCGAGGTGGGATAACTAGTGATTAATAATTCCTCTCGCGTCTTAGACTCAGTTAGCGGTTCGGCGGACGGATTTCGGAATCTGGTCCAGAGATCGCGGGCAGCAGACGTCATCTGAATCGTAAATTCGCCGAGTCAATTCGCAACAAGCGGACAATTTGGAGCCCAACCGAGAGGGAGCTGGCCAAGAAATGGGCAGAGGTGTTGGTGCACTCCACGGAAGACAGGATGGACGGATTCGCCATTGGAGGGGAACCGAGAAGGGCCGGCTGGAAATCGGCTGACGTGTTTCCCACCGAGGAACCACTTCGGTCTGTCTCGAAGTTCCGAGCGGAACTCGTAATTGATTTAAAGAGGCGTCCAAACAAGATGCTGCCGCAGTCGACGCGGTCTTCTCATGAGGGAACCAACCTAGTCATTCGCGCATAGGTAACTTCTGGGCTCCAACACCGTGACGAGCGTCTCGTTCGCGCCCGACATCGCCGCCACCTTCCTCGCCTTCCTACTCGTATTACCACGGAATTATCACTCGACGGATCAGACGAACGATGGGACCCGCGACGTCTCCCGTTCGAACTGATAATAGAAATTTAATGGATGCATTGTTAATCGCGTAATTGCGTCGCGCTAACGCTGAAACCCGGCCTCGACGTTGCCCGAAGAGACGCGAAACTATAACGCGATCTTCTCTTGTTAGCGAACCTATATTACCGTGCTAAGTAAGAGATATTGCGCGAGATGAGCGCGGCGCAAACAAAACTGGGAGCCGTATCACTCAAGCGTCTCTTGTTTAGGCAGATTTATGAGGCGAATTTGTTAGATGAGTATCACTCCAGGTTTCTTCAGTCCGGGTACGTCTTAAGGAAACGGATATTTCTTGCCACATGGCGCAGAAATCCCTTAAACGAGTCGCATTCAGACTTAGCTTATTTCGTTAAAGACGCCCGGAAGCTGTGAAAAGTCCCATGTCGAAAGTAACGACTTTTGGGAATTTCAAGTGATATCAAATCGGCATTGATATCTCCACTCGAGGGTCATAAATGGTGCGCAGTGTCGACACTTGCACCGCTTTTTTTTTTTGTTTTCACGGTGAAGTGCGCCGGCATAATGGCACTCAGCGATCCGTGTGACGTGTTTTTCCTCCCTCTGAATTTGATTTTGCAGAATATGGACCGGGCGAATTCGAGCTTTGTGCAGAAGTAATTTTTTCTAGATTAACCGGCGCCCCCGAGGCAAAGGGAAGTCAATTTGAATTGATCGAAACTCTAATTCGCTCCCTCTTTGTAGGCACTTCCTCGATCGCCCTTACACCGCCGATCATTGTCCGAGACGAGCCGAGAAGGGTGGACGAGAGATAGGGTCGCAGGGGATGGCCTTAAAGCGGGTGTTAGAGCAGCCATTTATTATTAATGAATTCTGTACAGATAATCGTAAGCCGGTTCACTGAACATTCTTTGACGCCTCGCTTCGTTCAAAGTGGCCCTGAACCTCCTGCTCGTCTCCCCTTTCTCTCCCTCGTCCTCCCTCGCCGTGTCGTCGCAACAATGTCACCGAATAATCTGTCACCTTTCGAATAATTAATTTCATACACGCTAGAAATACCAAGGAGAAAATGATAGCCAAGATTTTTTAAGTAATTTATACGATACCCGGCATTTTAAAAACGTAATGGCTCCTTTTCATCCCTTATAATTTTAACCATATGCACGAGCTGTCACTTTTCGATTTATTAATTTCATGTACGCAATAATTGCCAGGGGGGAAATGGGGCTAGGATTTCGAGGGAATTTTAAACTGCTCAAATAGTGGAAATGTAACGATATCTCATTTTCTCTCTTTCCCTCCCTTTCTCTCTCATTTAGCCGGCCTTGCTTTTCTTTTAGTCTTGAGCACCGTTGCCGAGCTCTCAAAGCTCCCTGCATCCCTTTCCGGGGCGGCCGCCTAGTCTGTCGGCAGCGGAATACCCGCAGGCCACGTATTGTCTGATCTAATTGGTTTTGATAGAACGGAATTAACCGGAATGGCAGTCAAAGGAGATTCGCGGGGGAGGCATCGAGGATCTCTCAAGGACCGCGTATCGCGATTCCGCTTTTTACCTCGCGAACCCCTCGGGAGAAGGACGAATCCGTCCATCAGGAGCAGCAATTTACCTCTGGATCCCGAGGTCTTTGCGTCTCCGCGAGTTAGTACCGATAGAAACGAGGGAATCCTATTGAGAACTTTCGATATCCGTCCTCGAAGAGGTGGCGAACTCCCATTTTTATCCGTCGTCCTTGCACGACCCTGAAGAAAGGACCTCGGCAAAGAAAATGGCAAAAGTCTAAGGAATCTGATATGAGCCCAAAGGACACCCACCCTTCTGGCTAGACTCAAACGTTACATGAATTACCCCCAATTTAAAGATTACGATCGACCAAGGCCAGGAATAAATCGCTCTGCATTTTTAACCGAGCGGAATGGAGCGATTTAACGGCGGGTTAAAATTAAAGTTAGAAATTCATCGGAGGGGACAATGTCGTGCCAATTTAACATTCCACTCCGAAATTACTCCCCTGCTGGGTGACAGGCAGCTTTTAATTAAACGCCTCGGTTTGCCGGAGAAAATAAAGAATTTACGAGTGTATTGACCCCCGGAAAATGGGCCGTAAAACAGTTTAGTCCGCGATTATAGGTATCATTTAGGTATCTTTAAGCTAATCCATCGTGTAAATTTCGTAGGAATTAACTGCACGCGTCCCAATAATTGTCTCACTCCTTATCGCGTGGAGGGAAAGGGTTAACCAGAATTTTTATCGCGTCTCGCTGGTTCCCTTTGCAGGGGTTGGTCGAATCCAAGAACGGCGAGGGTGGTTTACGAGACGGGATCCGATTTCGCGAGTTTGTAATGAGCACCCTTACCGCGCCGTTTCGATCCCCTCGGACTTCCTCCCAGGGGAGGTGCGGAACACTCCCCTGGCCCTGCTCGCCCGAAGAACCACCCACGGGATTACGATGTTCCGACTCGTAACAAGATAATAAAGTGACGAGCTTTGTAGCTTCGCGAAAGTTTCTCTCTCGCCCGACGCCCCCGCTTACTTTCTTCTCGGCTCCTCCACCTCTTCTTACCCGAGTCGCTTTACAACCCGGGAATAAAATTCGCGGAATTTTCTCTGTAGAAAGGAGGGCACCCAGGGAGGGAGGGGGAGGATCGGCGGAGGACGGGGGTGGAAAATCAAGAAATGAGAAAAGCAATGTACTAAGGTATCTCTCTGTTTACAGCGAATCTCGCCTTGACGACGGACCAGCTGGGCGATTCGGTGTCTTCGGAGCTGGAGGGCAATCCACCCCTTTGGATCACGAAAAAACGCGGACCCTACGGCGAGGAGGAGGTCTACATCAACAACGCCAAGATCCTGAACTCGAGGAGCAACTTCAAGTCCAGCATCAGACTCCCTGGCAGCAAGGACACCAAAGACCAGGTCAGTCTTTTGCGACTTTATTCGAGGAGATAACCGATGTCAAATATTTTTCTCTTTGAGGTGGTTAGGCTCCGTTTACACGGTCCACTCCCCTGGCAAGATATTTTTGTACTCGTTGCCCGAGAAAGCCCTGTCCTTTGATCACCCAGAACTCTCTGCTCTCTTCCGACAGCGCATTAAACCTACCTTTTCTCTGCTGCACGTACAGGTAAAATAAACAGTAATTTAATCTCGCGTTGCGTTGGTTGCCTGCCGTGACTCTGGATTCCGCGAAAACGCCATTTCTCGACCTAGTGGCGCATACTTACGGTCTTTTCCCCCGTCACCGTTGCCATCGCCGTGCTCGTCGCAAGTGGTAATTCCATTTGCATCTTCATTTATAATTCTTGCTGCTCTTAATCCCACTTAATCCCACCTTAACAATTTTCAGACTGGCTGCTCAGGAAGAAAACCTCTATAATCGTTGAAAAACATTTTTAGTTTATTACGCTTCTGCTGCTTGAGTGGTACACCCTTGGTGGGTTTGTACGGGATGCGTATGTAATTATGCGGAAATTAATGATTACCTAGGGGTAGATGGCGAGACCAGTGGCATGGCACTTCGGAATAAGGGGGAATAAGGAGGAAGTGTCGACCAGCCTCCCCGTGAATTCGCATTGTTCCACCTAATCTGACGTAGGAGCACGCCTTCGAACGCCGTCCGATTCCTCCTTTACAATGTCCCGTTCGAAGGAGTCGCTTTTACAGGGCTGCCAAGCTCGTGGCGAACCCCTAACGAGCTTTTAATGAGCTTTGCTGGCTCCCCTTAGTGCCCGGACCATTAGCCCAATGGATAATACCGGTAACCTCAATTATGCCCGACGAACGAAAGCGGCCGTCTTATCGCGCCTTTTCGAAAGAATTTCGGAACCTCGGAAAGGAATTATTCACGGTGGGCTAACGTCGAATTCCTCTCCGGCCATCCCCAAGGAATATTTTCACCTGAAACAAGAATGCTTCACGGACTTCCTGTCTCGAGCTGTACAGCTTTCAAACTCTCGGAACCTCTTATGTCGTGCATGGAAATAGGAATAAGCGCAATCCTCGGAAATAGATTTTCTCACATCCGATTTGAAGATAAGGCTAATAAACTTGAAAGCATTATAACGTTAGATTAGTTGTCTTGTGGTTTTTGAACAAATCCTTGAATTATCCATCGATTATGGAATTCCACTTCTTCGTTATATCACTTGAACGTAATTACGTTGGCCGCCATCTTCCATTTCTACGGATTTTCCCAGTCTTTCGGCTTCTTAAAGATCTGCATCTTTTTACGTCCGTCTTCGAACTTGCCGGGCGCTGAAAAGAGCTCAGAAGAATCTGAAACTTTAGTTCGTTGTATTTCCATGGTATCAGGGAATCGTTTCTCTTTCAGGAAGAACAAAAACCCGAACTCGTTTCCAAGTAGAGGGAACAAAGAGCCGTAACCTTTGTGCCCACTTAATTTAAATATCCACGTGGAAAGAGCACTTTCGCAAAAGGTACTTCCAGACACGAAAAGTCCTCCTCAAAATGTATATTGCATTTCTCAATGCCTTTCATTGCATATATTTATTGCACATATTTTACACTCATGTCAACGCGCATTAATATCCCAACTCCCGATGGAAGAAGACATTTAACATAGGATCGTAATAGTGACCTTTTTTATTATATCTTCGTAAGTCTCTTAATGTTTCGCTTAATTATCCTCCCTCCTGTAATCTCAGGCCATAAGTCTATTATCCTTTCGTACCTCTTCTAAAACTTGCATATTCTCACGAGGGTCCTGAATTTCCCCTGTCGAAGGAGTCTGAAACTTTAATTCCGCCATGAACTTGGACGTACTCGAAGCAACGTTCTCCTTTTTGGAAGCAATAGACGCACGGATCTTTTGCAATATTTTTTATTTTTTATTTTTTTTTTTAACTACCCCTCATTAGCCGAGAAACTCTTCGACGAATCTTTACCTTCCAAGTCGAATTGACGTTCAAGCTTCGACTAGATGGAATTTCTTCGGGATTATTGCATGCCGACGGAAACCGTTGGGAAAAGTAGCCCGAGGGAATACCGAACACGTAGTGCACGAGCGTATAATGAGATGAAAACCTCTTCGTCTTCGAGATTAAAAAACGTCTTCGCCGGAGGTCATCTCGGCGAACACCGAGTCCGAGGTTTTATTTTTTCCTCGCCTCGACGTAAGATTACAGGAGAATATTGAGACCTTTCCAATTTTCTAGCCCGAGAGGGAAACCATCCTCTTCCTCCGTTGTCTGGAAAAATAATTTATTCAACGTTAATTAAATTTAACTCTTTATTAAATCAATCCCCTGGCGGGGTTATTTCGGGTTAAGGAGTTCGGGACTGACTTTCTACCGACAACTTACCGGCAACTTAGTTTCTCACCAGTCTTCCGGGTTAGTTCACGGAATTGTCGGGAACTTTGACACGTTTACACCGGCGAATTCAGTTGTTTAGAACCAGTGCCGGTGTTAATATTTACACTGGGGAACTTTGCTTGCCGAGGATAAACGCGCTAATCTAGGGAAGAAAAAGAAACGAGTTTCCTGGAAATAAACCGGAAAAGGCTTCTTTAATTGATCTTGGTTTTCTACATGTATGTCGGATGGGTGAGCTTTTTATCCGGATTAAAAATGCCGATTTTGGTGGTGACATTCTCTTGGAGAGGTCGGACATTCTATTAGAATCACTTTTCTGGAAATTCCTTTACGGTGTCACCTCGAGGTATTTTTAAACAACTCTCTAGGGCCCTTTTAAATAGAATTCTTGGAGCGAATCTCAAATGGCTGCTGAAATCCAGTGTCGCAGCGGGGGTCGACAAGCTCGAGAGAGGTGATGTTAAAAGTTGGCGACATCTTTGTAAAATCTCTCGTATGCCTCTCGTCCACAGAAATTTCAATGCGAGAAGTTTGCTTTGACGAGCTTACGGCCTCAGTTGTGTACAAAGCTCTGGCATACTAGATACTTTCACGTAATAACGACCTCCGTTGTTGTATTTCGTATGCTCGCAAGTGCACATTCCATTGCTATAACAATTCAAAGTCGAGTAATGCCGGGTAGCGTGGAAAACGGACGGAAAAAGTGAGAAGTAACATTTCAAAGCGTTTAAAACTATTAAATAGTGTAAATAAAACTCATAAGGGAAGTAGAAAAATGTCATGGCGGTTTAGACCGCGTTCGTGTTTTGCAATCACGTTTTCGAAGTATCCGAATATTTTCCCTCGCAACTCGTTCGTCTCGTTTTTTTCTTTAAAGATTATTATTATAATAAATCGCAAAGAAGATTAAGCAGCATATATCGGTGCCGAGATCGGCTCGTAAAGGCCAAGAAACTCGTACGTCTCTGCGGATTTCGTTCTCCTTCCTCAGGGTATGCCTCAGCAAATACGACTTCACCGCCGTAATACGTCGCGTACGTTTGTATCAGACGATCGATAATAATTTCATCCCGAGCCGCACGGGGGATGGCGACATTTATTTAACGTCAGGAACGCCCTTGTCAGGAATAACGAACCTCTTTGCTTGTTTAGTTCGCCAGCAGACCTAAGAGAAATCAAGAACTGTAAACGCCGGAAATAACGCTCGTATTTCCAACAAACAGCGAGAAGTAATTCCGATAATTTGTTATTTCTCAAGAGTAACAGTTTTACAGCTAACTGGAAAAATCGCTTGACTAGACGCTTTTAACCGCGACTTAAAAATTTGTCTACTGTACATAAAAAGTGAATTTTTGTTTGATTCGATTTTGCAGATATCTCTGTAAATGTCTGTATAGTTTCAAATCTTTTTAACAACCGAGATAGTGACGTTTGAAAGGAATGGAAATTTCTTCGAGGTAATTTGAGAGTATTGAAGGCATTTACGGGGAATGAAGGTTTCTGGATATTTTTTTAGGATAAGAAAATTGGGTCGCAGTTTAGGTCAAAGGACTCTACTTGGACGCGCTCGGCAAATGAAGGAACGAAAAAGGGAAAAGAATTGGCAAAGGGGTGCGATAGAGGGAGGACCGCACCCTGCATCCCTCTGCACGATTCAATGAATCTCGGAGTGACCTTAAAGGGGATGATCCTCGGTCGATTCACCCTATCGGTTATTCCACATCGATTCCTTCATATTTGCGGAATTTGTACAGAGCGCCTTTGTATCCTGATTTCCGTAAACAAAAAAAAAAGAGAGGACAAGAAAAAAGTTAATTCCGTTCTTACAGACCCTCGAAAGGATCGTCGCTAAAACTTTTCAATTTTGCTTCTCGCTTTCAACTCCTCCTTTTACCTGCAAAGTTTCCATAAAAAAGTTCGCACCAACTTTCTTTCCAAAAAATGAACCGCAAAAGTACTGGCTCTGGAAAGTCAAAATGTCTCAATTCGAAACCTCAATTTTTCCTCCGCGACCTCATTATACTCGCGGAATTTATTTTCCATGGGTCCGAGTCGTTCCCACGTAATATTTACTCTGCAAAGATACTCCCGGGAAACTCGGGAAATTTTAAATCGCGGTTTAGAATGAATTAAAGTTAAGGTACACAGTTAAATCGTGCTAACCTTCGGGCGCTTTCGACGTTTTTCTGTAAAGCTTTGTGCTGCCCACGGCTCTTCTGAAAGACCCTTTTCGCAGGGAATCTAAGAAATTCAAGTAAAGGTTCGTACCGAGATTTTTAATTTACGAGTAAAAGCCATTTCACGCCAGCCTCCGCATACCTAAGGAATTTTTTATGGAGTCTACTCTGCACCGTTCTTCTGGAAAAATATGCCTCCACAAATTCTCCGGAAGTGAAACAAAAAATACAAGTGCGGTTACACATTGGCTGTATAAAAGAAACGCTACTATTTTTCGCTACTTTGTAATAAAAAAAAATTCCTCGCGAGGTCTTTTATGCCATTGACTTCCAAAATGATTCGTAATTACGAATAAAGTTGAAGATTTAATCTTTTTTCTAGAGAAGAAATCAAAGAGGGGACTAA